TTTTTATTGTGTCTGCACTTGTCAATACAGTGACTGGTCACTGTCTGGATAATCTGCCAAGAGCAACTGTTTACCCAAGACAGCAATAGGATACACAAGCGGTGTAAAGCTTTAACTGTCAAGGTTCCCTGGCTCTTGTCAATGGCCTTTAATTAACACTTCACTTTATAAACTTTAGACCTCATCAGTAATGCCTAACAAAAAAGATGTAGGGAGAGAAGTGCCAGACATTCCATGCAGTTATCAGGTTTTGATTTGTTTATGTAAATAAAGTAAACATTGTCTAAATTAATTTCAGCCAACAATTAGTTTCAACTTATTGTTTAGAATTGTGCCATGAAATCATATGATATAAAACATTGGACATTAAAAAAACCCTCAAACTAATTTTCAAAACAGTTAGGTATATAACCTACTTAAGTAGTTAAATGATAAACATATGTTTGGAACATTCTTCAAAAAAAACCTTCAATGTCAATCTCCCCAGTTTGTTCTATTCTTTGAGTAACAGTTCACAAAATGGAAAACAAAACTGTCATCATGATAAGACTATTTTATCCCAATCTGATAATAACCAAATTTCAGAATTCAAACGTTACTAAAGGAGTCTGAAAATGCAGAGGTAGTGTCCCTACCTCTAGGCCAGAAGATCTAGATTCAAGTAATGCCGGCCTGTGTGCTCCATAACACATCTAAAGTTGATTAAAAATATCTTCAAATCCCTATTCAGATGCCAATATTGACAGCAACTTTACACTTAGAGTTGACCAAAGGCTGAAATCCAACTTAACATCTCCCATTCAGGAAATTACAGTAATATAAACTCAGTCGCCTACAAAATAAGTTTTCTGCATTCTTAATAATAATTCAGCATAAATAAACAATTAATTAGAAAGAGGTTCAGCTTCGTTACAACAAAATAACACCTGAGAGAGATAGGATAATATCAACGATTCACCAAATGCAAGACTCAACTTGAACACAATGTCAGAAAAACTAATGACACAAGTCACCTACAGCACCCTCAAGCAATTCATTTGAATCTAATGAGAAAAGGGAGATTAAAATTTCCAGCATCAGCACTCGCAATTACTCAGCCACTTTGAAGAACCCAAGGGAACCCTATCAAGGGCCATAGAAATGAAAATCTAATAAAGTGTACAGACCCAAAGATACAAGAGATATGACCTATGCTGTAATTAAATGGGCCTTACAAATACCTCCACACAAATTGAGAGATCAGCATGAGACTAACAAATTAAAGAAATGGTAAAACTTCATTATGACAACAGTTGCAATAGGTCAACAGATTTTGTTCTAACCACAACGTAGTTTGCAAAGAAACCGATACATCTTTGAGCAATGTGAAGAACAGGACCTTTCCTTATAACAAGTATTTTATTTAAATAAGGCTGAAAATACGTGCAGTACTCAACTTCAAATAAGTTCATTTGCATAACCATACATTTCAGTTCACTGAAGTGTTGCTAAGCTACTTGAACCACTGGTCATCATTATGGTGCACACTACTTGTAGGGAAGTCTCACCATTTTCCAGTCAACAGCTAACAACCCCCTGGTGCAATAATCTACGTCCATGGCCTTCATGCCATGATTGCAAGCAGCCTTGAAGTGGAGCTGTGGGTGTCCTACTTAAGTTGCCTGGTCCCATTTACCTCAACATAATCGCTCAACGACTGCTGTGTCTTCCATCCTGCTAAGGTGCCCAATCCATCAAACCAACTTTTGATGAGTGCTAACAAACATGGGAGTTCTGCCAGAGTCCTGATTTTGTCCTGCCAGGACATAAACATCATATGCTACAGAAGGCAAAAGGTCAACAGTTGTGTTAGTTGTGTAACTTCACTCCACAGGTGGAGTGTATCTCCAGTTCGTTCTCTTTTTATTACAATTCCTTTCTCCAATTTCAATGATTCCTTTATTTGCAGCTGAATGGAAACATTGCATATCCAGCATTGCGCAGCACAAATACTTTACTGTCTATCACTTAATCCAACCAAACATTGTATACTTATAATGTGAAGCAACAAGACTGTCCACTTTTACATAAACACCTAGTGTTACTCTCCAGGAAAGGCAAAATGAAAGGTGAATTACACTAAATGGCCAGGCTAAGAATATTATTATCCATCTCAGATCAAGGATAAGTCAAAGAACTTATGTCAGATCAAATTACTTGAGGGGGAATAAAATCTGTCACTGGGAGTACAGGTATCAGGGGAATGAAGAGGGAAGGAGGGAATGGAAAGGAATAATTAAATTTCAGAATGTTTAGTTTCATCAATTTATTTAATAACAGCAAATCTTCTTTGGCCATTTTCCATGAAAAAGTATAACCATACGTCTCAATAATACCTACATCAGACACAGAAAATTGCACTCCTGCTGAATTATCCTGGAAAAGACCAATCAGCCAATTAGCAATGCCAATGGCAGCAAAACTCACGTATATATTCTAAGTTTGTCCTATCCTGACTTTTAATTAGTTTAATAAAATATTATATCTATTAGAACATAATGTACAGTATTCTGTGCATCATCTATATATTATCTGAAATTTCCGAAGAACAAAACAAAGATTCCATGTGAAAACTAAATAATTTAAATGTTTAGTACTAAGGTCAACAAATCAGGACAGAAGTAAAATTAACATTAAAAACTAGAGTATACTCTCAACATTCAAATTTATATTTGGATTAATAGATCAATGTTAATCTGAAGTTTATAAAGGGTGGCCAAGACTAACTGCAGGAGCCTAGTTACTGATTTCAATAGCTAAAATATTCCTATTTTGGGTGAAAAGGAATTTTGTGAACATGAAATATGAAAAACGAAATTCTTCCTGGCAAATCAATTTTGTACCACCACCAGTTAAACTGTGCAATCACAACACTCCACATTTAATTATCTGCCTGTACATTATAACAGGAAATCATTAAACTCTGGAACATTAAGCGGGTCGATGTCAAGAGCTGAAACATTAACAACTTTAGTTTAAAGCTTTTCTCAAATTTATCAGCGCACTGTTGACCTGTAACAAAAACCACATCTTCTATTTACACATTACTACTATGTCAAAAAAAAAACAAAATTGAGACGTTCATAAAATGAATTAAGTAACATTGAAACGAAGACAGTTCAAACAATGAATATTCCTCACTAGTCAAAATACAGACTTTTTTCAAGCCAATACAAATATGAAAAAAACCTTTTAATCAATTAAAACCGACAACTGTAATCCATATCCATTCATTTTCTTACAACAAATGGTTCTAAGTATGCTAAAATGTCTATTTAAACAAAAATACTGGGACAGTTTTTCTTTCATGTTTTCAGCATTACACCATGAACAAAAAGCACTTATGTCTGAATAAAAACCATTTGCTCACAACTGTACAACCCTGCAGGTGGTATCCTCAAAGACCAAGCAAAGTGCCTACCCAGAAGACAAACCTCAAGATGGAAATCTTCTTACAACGATCTTCTTACAACGTTCACTTGCCATCTAGAGTATAAACTATAAAAAGATAAGCCTGCTAGGAGCCTCACTAATGCCCAGTCGTCCCCCAGAGAGAATTCTTGTCAAACGTAACCAGGCTGCATAAGCCTTTCTCCAGCATAATGAGCACTTAGGCCGCACTGGTGATCAGTCAGCAAAATGCATCAGTTTCAGCCAAGTTATTCCCCTGGGCCCAAACGTCATCTGTTTTGAAGAATTATCATACTATATAGAAACAATAAATGTCTGAAATTTGTAGTATAAAAATACAGTATACTTGAAAACATATCTGCAAATTCAAATCTCTAGATGGAAACAAATCAGCAATGAGAAAGAATCCATCAGTATTCTGCAAAAAAAAAGTTTAATTTAAAAATCCTTCACTGCTGTACATAATAACATTGCTGCATCTGACAACCATGAAGATTATTATGTGGGCAACTCTGGATTTCCTTTTAAATGCAATACTACCAACGACAGAAGCACTCTAGATCACCAGGCAAATACTGTAATTAAATTAATATATCAAACCATCATTTCTCAGCTTTGGTTAAATTTTATAGCATTATATCAATCAAAGCAGCAGCCAAGTTGAAACACATGCCCATTTTTTGGGCAAGCATGCATCAGCTGAGAGATAATTTAATAATGACCTTTTAAGAAGTAAATCAATGTCTTAAGGACTTACTATCAATCGTATCTTAAGGATTAGAAATCACAAAGTCACCACTTCTCTTGGGTAGCCTGCATCCCGCAATTAATGCTTTCTTGGCAAACAACCAGAGTCAAAGCACCATTTAATACATCAATCACTTGAGATTTGCTTTGCACACATTGTCCACCTTCCTTGTGCTTTGTTTGTTATTTTAATATTCTCAAAATTAGCCTTGCCTCATTTCAGTTCATCAATTGAGTATCTACGCCTCATGTACAAGAGCAGCTTCAGCTATCACAAATATACAATGCAATAACTTATGACCATTGCTTTAAACCTCAAACAGCTTTTATTTCCCCCATCCCTATAAACTCCACATGCAGAGCCAAGCAGCAGCATTAGTTCACCTTAAATTAGATCTTTTTGTATATATGAGAGCATTACTTACACTACACCATGCTCTGTAGACATTACATAAAACCTTCTAGAATAATAAATTCTGTTTATCAAGCCATGATGATCATGCCAACTTGCCAGCCATACAATAAAATTTGGATTTTAACATTATGTTGCAAATTTATGTTTTCCTGTAACCCTGATCCACCGTACAACATTAAAAAGTGAACTTTGACATGAAATACTTGCTAATAAGAAAATGCAGCAGCTCTAACCAACATCTGAAAGAAAAGGTAAACATTCTAAGTTCTAATGATGACTTGATCCAAAATGGTTAAGGTTCTTTTCTTCCTTCAGATGTTGATGGGAAATGTTTTGCTACTTCTACTTTACCATGTCCAAAAACACGTTTCTATAAAAATGAGCTTACCTGTTTGTGCATCTCAATATTCAATCCATAAGACATTTCATAATACTGTAAAGGAAAAAAAAAATATGATAAACCAAGTGATAATGATGTTTTGACGAAACTGAAATGTGAGTTTTCAGTAGTTTATTCCCCAGTTCAGATTGGAAAACGTGACAAACTAATAGCACGCTACTTCTAATTTTACAAAATAATTGTTTAAACTCACCATAACATAGTGTCGCTGCATTTCTGTCTTTTCACTTGCCAATTTCTCACATTCCAATTTTAGACTATAAAACACAAAATTAAAAAAAAATCTTTCACAAGATGCAATTGTCGTCACAAGATCCAGTGCTTGTTACCGATCCCTAACAACCCCGAGAATGTCAACACAGGAACTTCTTGAAGCAACAAGAAAGCATCTTAAAAAGAGTACCTACGTAAGAGAGTGCAGTAATGGCAAAAGCAGAAGTACTGGATAAAATCAAAAGGAGAACTCAACCCCTTGTAATGGACCGGATATTAAAATTCAACTGTAAACATCAAGATACATAAAGCAAATAAACTCAATTGTTCTAAATGGCTTAGGTATTAACTTAAACCGAGTTATATGCAATTGACATCAATTCGTGTAATTTACGATTTTCAACGATGTAATTCATAAGTGTCAAAAAAAAGTTCAGAGGGTTTAGACCACTCAGGCTCCTGGTTTCCTCAATGTGTGGTTTGTTGCAACCTTTTAAAAGGAAACAAAATCTGGCCGCAGCGAGAGCGCCGCTCTCTGGTGAGGGAAAGTAACCATTGGCTACCTACCGCAGACAAACCAAATAACACTGGAGCCTGGACTAACCAGCAGCAAATAAACATACTTTTCCCCGGCAGAGAATGGGAGACTTCTTTCACCTGTGATACTGAGCCTGTAAAAACTGGAACTCTTCTTTAATACGGTCCAACGATTCGGGGATGGTAAATTTGAAAGGCTGGGCTGCAGCCTGGTGCGGCGTCTGAGAAAACAGTAGGTAAGGAAACAAGAATTACAAGTACACAGAGACAAGAGACCACGAACGATTCAACTCGCAGCCGAGGCAGATTTATACCAGAAACTTTCCGACAGAAGAAAGCGACGAACACAAACACATGACACTGAACGAGGGCAAGGTCCTTTGACAGAATTAAACACTGGACCTTTTGTTGGTCCACGTAAGCTCAGTAGAATCAGTGATCTTCCTGCCCAACTTTCAGGGGGACAGTTATTGAGATGACATTGGTTCAAAACACAATAATGAACAGATGTGCACGCAGGTTATTTGGGAACCGGCTAGAAGTAGCTTTCCGCTTATAAAATACATCACACGACACGTTGCTGGTAGTGCAACTATACATCAGTCCGCTGAAGGTGTTTTCCTTTCCTTGAATAAAGATCACACAATGAAGTAACAAAGCGGTTGGCCAGGAGAGCTGCTTTCTCTTTACTTACAGGATGCCTGCTCTGAGGAAACATTGCTTGGGTCCGCCAGAAGCTCAGCTCCGTTGCTCAAAAAATCGCTCGATCTTCTTTAAGAAACGCACATTAATAAGAATCCTCTCTAAAAGAAAAATAAAGTGTTTATTGCAAGCGCATCCTGGGTTTGGATCCCCAACTAGGTAGTGTTTTAAGAGAGACTTTAAAGCCCTCAGGGAGGCTGGCAGATTCCGCTGTCCCGATTCAACTCCTGTCGATCTTTAGGACAACAAAACCTTTCGGAAAACAGCAATTGCCACTTCTGTAACAACACCAAATTCCTAAGCCGCCCCAGGAAATCTTCTCGGCTTCTCTTTTTTTCGATTGCAGTATATCCAACAGAATAAATATAAAAGGTATACCGTGCGAAGTTTAAGCGGGTATAATTGCTACAGTGGAAAACAATGTAGCAGTTTCCCCCACACAGACTGGTTACATTAACACGCGGTTTCTTCGCTTCCCCCCCACCCCCCCCCGAGAGATCGTTCACCAAATTTAGACACGCGCAGTCTGAGGCTACGTTCCGTCCCATTCTACGCCAATCAGGATCCGGAAAGCGACCTCTGTCACACGTGGGGTTGTGTCGTCATCACGGAGTTTGCCCAATGGAAGGTGGCGACCGCAAAAGGCCAGCTGTCAGTCAAGCTGAGCGGAGACTGAGCCCAGCAATCGCGAGGCGGCTTGCCGTTGGACTCTTTTTCCATTGGATACTATTGCACATCAATCACGCTGACGGCTCGGCCTCAGACCAATTAAGGACAGCATTGTGCCCGTTTGTCTCTTTCTGATTGGTCTAATTCTTTCACCCCGCCTTCACGTTGCCCCCACCACCCGAGCGGGCTGAACTGAAACGGTTCGAATCAAACGAGTGGCCGTCCGTCAGTCAGTCAGAGAGAGACAATAGGGCGGTGGCGGGCTCAGCTGTCACTCAAAGTAACGTGGGTTCCAAATACTGACAGGGGAAAAAACACAGACAGACAGGCCTTTGTCCCACCCACAACTAAAAGACCCAGAGCCGGAATGTTAACTAATTATAACAGTGTGGAAAAGCTTCACATCTCGGTTTTGTTGGGAGTGCATCTTGTCGGGCTGTTATGATTGTCGAAAGCAACTTTGAACAAAAGGGTTTCCTTGAAGCTAATGTAATCATAATTTTAGGTCTTATTATATACGAAGCATTAATTAAATAAATTGGGATTTATTTCGTTGGTGCTTATGCCGCCCCTCCACATCGCCCCCCGCTCCCCAATTTTTATCAAGATCTACTTCATTTTAAGTCCTAGGTTTGGTAAAAGCGTCAACACATCAACAATGTTAGTGCTGAAATGCACATCAAAGCGGCCCACGTATGTTTTCATTTCGTTTTACTAGACAATTGCATCCAGATGTTTAACAGGTATTATATCGGCTTTTTCAGACTTGATTACATAGGTTTATTCTGTTTGTTTACAGCTCTCCTAACTTGTTAGGTAACACAAAAGAAATATACACGGTAAACGTTAATTATTTGCAATAGTCATATGTGTTGAGAAACAGATTATATCTATTACAAATCCCGCCCCCCCCCTCCCATGACTACAATTTGCTCGGAGTCCTGACTATATTTTTGTTGTTGGGGGAAACCCTCGGGGTGATATTCTCCAGACAATACCTTCTTTGCACACAGGACCTCTGTGAGCTGAAACTGTGGTAAATGTAGAGACTCCAGACCACACGCGCGATGCCTAAAAGATGCCTTCATTTGTTTCAACTGTTTCATTACATGAATCTTAGTATAATATAATATTCTTATTCCACTCCTGAGTAACTCATGGTATCGCTCCCGTCAAGGGGTCATGCCATCAGCGAACCCTTTACCAAGGTTTAGTAAAAATGCAGACAATTCCCCGTATTAATAACAAATTAACTTTTAATGTATACACATAGACATCTTACACAGTAATTGACTATGGAACGATTAAAAAAAAACAATAAATGTGACTGTTTCAATAAATGGTCTCGTACCACACTGCACACTGGGAATGAGGACTGAATATTTCAAATGAGAACCGAAAGATTTACGGATGCTAGAAATCAGAAACAAAAGCAGAAATTGCTGGAAAAGCTCATCAGGACTGACAGTATCTGTGGAGAAAACTCAGAATTAACTTTTCGGGGTCGGTGACCCTTCTTCGGACCTGCTGAGCTTTTCCAGCAATTTTACTCAGTAGGTCTAGCAGCATCTGTGGAGAAAAATCAGAATTAACGTTTCGGGTCCAGTGACCCTTCCTCCGAACAGCTGATGTTTTCCAGCAATTTCTGTGTTTATATTTCAGATGAACCCGGTTTAGAAGGCAGTGTGTGATTACACGCAGCTGTAAATCAGTTCCCATTTTTTAAACCACATATCCAGTCCTTATTTTCACATCATTATACCAGAGTATTCTGTAAACAATTCTTTAGTTCACATATTTCATGTTTTTGTCATAGTCCTGTGTTTTTAAAATAATTTCTGTTAGGTTACCATGCTGTCACAAAATTTCAACTTTGCAATTCCAGACAGCTTGTACTGCTAAGAGAAGATTATATAAAAAATCATGTCCTGCTTTCCAAATTGCAAAATTTTAGAACAACTCTGCTAGATAACAACTAAAGTCAAAGTATTATATGAAAATAAGGTTCAACTTTATGAGACTCAACATGACTCCCTGTCCTTAATTCCTGCTTTACCTTAAAGTGCACTTGAATTTGACTACCTTTGGGATAATGTTCAACTGCCTGCCACAGGAAGAGCAGATGGCAGCAGCTGAAAACATTGAAGATGGTGGGCTGGTGGAGACTGAGGAAGGTGGGGTGGTTTGGTATGATTGGTAGGTTGGAGTGAGAGGGGGTGATTTTTTTGCAAGGGTTAGGGGTATATCTAAGTTTGTTAGAAGTTTCACCTTAGCCTGTGCATTAATGCCGTAAACTTGCGCGTTGCAACTTCAACGCAAATGTGTGAATGAGTGGGCTGTCAATCCCCTGGAACAGATGTAGGGTTGCTAAATATGCAATTAAAATTATAAACAATTTTTCATATATTACTTAGAGAATCAGGCACCGTACCTGGTTAACTAGCAGTTCTCAAATGAATGATTGGTGGCTGCTCAATAAACAGTTAAGATAAGCTTGTTTTTTTTACATAAGTCCAAGAGGATCAACAATGCCCCTCTGGTTCTTAAAAAAAATCTCTCGCTGCTGGTATATTTGGTCACTACAACTTCTCGCTACCTTTCTATCCCCTCACTCCCCTCACCATCACCCCAGTGCACTCCATAAGACTTCTTCCTGCCTGACCTTCCAGCTAGATCAACATTAGAGCCGGATAACTTCCTAACTCCTGGAACAAACAAGGTGCAATGGGATCCCTCTGGGCATCTGTAGCTGCCTAGCAGTTTGCTAATAAATCCCAAGCCTCCAAAGGCTTAAGTTCACCCCAACACTAATGGCAGGTGGAGCAGCTGCGCACTTTGGATACTACAAGAACCCACCCTCATCTCCACCTTCAGTGTGTGCTAAGAATTCTGGGTATTTACAAGTCTCCAAAATGCTAAATTTGGGTAGCATCAAATTCTAAAGACTAAACGCGGTCTGATTGCACTATGGTACATATATTTTTAACTGTGTTTTATCTTTTTACAACTTTTCAGACTTCAATGTTCATTGACCTCACTTAATACTACTGTCTAATTCTATGTAATTTTTTTTCCAATGATCCAGTTTTCCTAACTAGAAGTGTGGATCTTTCACAACATTGCAACGCTAGAATATTGTTATAATAGAATCAGCTAACAAGGAATGCTATACTAAAACAGTTTTATAGGGCTATAACTCAATAATTATAAACTTGTTGATTTTAGCTAAAGTTCCATTAAACTCACAAAATATCATCATAACTGATCTATGGCCTAATTCCATATACCCACCTTTGCCCCGTATACCTTGAAAAACAAATGTCTACTAATCTCGGACTTAAAGTTTACAATTGATCTAGTATTAGTTACAGTTTGCAATTCCCAACTGCTATCAAACTTTTACTTGTAGAAGTGTTTCCTAATTTCTTTCCTTAAAGGTCAGGTTCTAATTTATATTTCCCCTGGAACTAGACACCCAGCCAATGAAAATAATTTATTTTTATTTATCCTACAAGTTCCCCTTAGTACTTTGAAAACTTTTATCAAATCTCCCTTAAACCTTCTAAACTCAAAGGAATACAATCGCAGTTTGTGGAATGCATCCTTGTAACTTAACCCTGGATATAGCCAAAGGCTCATTATTTCATTTAAAGGGGAGATAACCAAGACTGGTTCTTCATTGCATTCTAGTGCTCTTGTTACACAGCAGTGTCAAGATTAAAATTTGCTCTTCAATTTCAAGTAGAGTTGATGATGGGGGGGAGAACGTATAGATGGAGTAGAGAAGGCAAAAGTGTCAACCGATTTGCATAATTCACTGTTCTAGGTGGAGGTATATTTGAATAAAGTGCACATCTATCTGGAAATATGACATTAATAGTTTCAAGCAATAACCAAAAACTTGCCCTTGATTTATATTTGCATCCATTGAGAAAATACTTCAAATCTGATAAGCATGCAATTGGAAGCATTATATAGAATAGGATATACTATTTACATAACCCTGCAACTATCTTATTTATCCATCATGCAGCCAATGTAAACACTTCAGCTGTATAATCAAGTAAGCTTCTGATTCAACCCCTCAGTGACATTGTATGCGACACAGCAACACAAAGTAAATTTACATGTTTACTATGTAATCAGAGAAAGCAGTCAAGGTGAAATCTAGTCACTACCAAAGCAGGTCTCTTCAGTGGTTAGAAAGAAGCTGACAAAAAGACTGTTGATCTTTGCATCTTTTTATTGTCACAGGTGTGAAGATCTACATATTTATATCTGTTATATAGCACAATTAAATCTCACCTGGGAATCACAAGGAAACTATTGTACTATACTGTGAATTTTAAATGACCTAAATTGTGATTCTTGAATTAAAAATAAACAAGCTTGGTTTATGATCATCTCCATATATATAAACTTGATCTGTAATTAGAGCTGATTTGCTTCACACAGCAGTGTAATAAATTGCTTTGCTGCACATATAATGAACAGTGAAACCAGGCACTTTTTAAAATAGATCTCCAGGTTCCACAGCTCTTTATTTTACTTTTTAAAACAGATTAGGTATCACCTCTTTGATAGTGCAGTGTTTAACATTTCACTACAAATGGTCATTCAATAAACATTGCTTAACTTTAGAGCTGCTCTTAAAGAAAATCTAAGCATCAGCAAATGGACAGAGGTATGCGGAATGAATCAAGTCTACACAAAGCAAGATCAAAGCAAACAAATATATTCTGAAAAAGCTTATTTTATTAACTACAATAAGAAGATAACATAGAAATGCTTTCATTCTCATCT